TGGACTGTTAAAGAGAAACACCCACCCACTGCAATAATAACGCTTGGAATAGCCAGGACAATTTTTTATTTAACTCCGATTGGATTTGTCTGAAAGAAGAAAGTCATACACAGATGGCTCGAGGGTGAGTAAAACACTGGCTAATTTTCATTTTTGGGTGAACTAACCCTTTAACCTCACTGAATGATTTACATACAGTTGTCTCTGTATATTAAAGGGTTAGTTCACCCAAAAATGAGAATTAGCCTGTTTTACTCACCCTCAAAGCATCCTAGGTGTATGTTACTTTCTTCTTTCAGACGAATCCAATCGGAGTTATATTAAAAATTGTCCTGGCCCCTCCAAGCCTTTCAATTGGGGTAAGCGGGTGTTGGTTGTCAACAGTTCAGAAGACGTGAAATAAAGTGCGCGTATCCGTAATAAAACATCCCTCACACGGCTCTGGGGGGTGAATAAAGGCCTCCTATAGCGAATCCATGCATTTTTGTAAGATAAATATCCATATTTCAAATGTAATAAACACTTTTTTCTCACTTCCGCTGACTGTCATACGTGGAAGCCGTTCTGGCGGATGACGTAAGACATCGAAGTTGCGTGATAAGTGACGAATGCTGAGACAAAACAAAACTAAATGCGAATTAGAAGCACAAAACGAGGATTTGTAAAGAAAAATATCGGAGGATTTCGATATAAGCCAAGAAGAGACTGGTTTTCCTTTGCTAAAGTAAGGAAACTTTGTTTCCTTTGCTCCTGCATTTCTCAGAGGTGCGCGCATGACACATAAGTCTTACGTCATCCGCCTGAATGTCTTCCGCGTACCACAGTCAGCTGAAGTGAGAAAGAAGTGTTTATTACGTTTGAAATATGGATATTTATCTTACAAAAATGCATGGAATCGCTACAGGAGGCCTTTATTCACCCACCTGGAGCCGTGTGAGGGACGTTTTATTATGGATGTGCGCACTTTATTTCACGTCTTCTGAACTGTTGACAACCAACACCCGCTTACCCCAAATGAAAGGCTTGGAGGGGCCAGGACAATTTTTAATATAACTCTGATTGGATTCGTCTGAAAGAAGAAAGTCACATACACCTAGGATGCTTTGAGGGTGAGTAAAACACAGGCTAATTTTCATTTTTGGGTGAACTAACCCTTTAAGCTTTAAAAGTATCTCAGTTATCTGAAAAATTAGAATAGAAAATTTAACAAGCATTCTTAGCAATACAAGTCTTAGCTATACAAGAAGCACTGCAAAAACCTAGATTCTCTATGGCTTAGTAGTTTGCACACCAGCCCCTGAGAAACAAACCCATATCTATCAAATACAGACATCCAGAACCAAGACTGACTTTAATGTATAAGAAAGATCACTTGGATGAAATTGCCTGCATAATCACTGTACACTAGTAAAATGTACACCTGATGTTCAACGCAAGGCTCCAAGACAAAACACACAGACATCCAAGACACAATCTTGGAGGTGCCATAGACCCTACACACACAAAAGTCAATTTGTCATTCCTGAAAAACAAGGGGAAGGAAGGAGGAATGTCACTGGAGGGTGACCATGATTTCACCAAGTACAACATGTTCCTGGATCAACATCCTTGTTGATCCTGGAACAACATCCCAATTAACCAATCAGAATTGAGGGATAACTTTTCAGGAAATATCTGTTTTAGGCTTATGATCAGGATTAGGTGCTTCTACACCCTTGGTAATCAGCTATCATTTCACACTGATTTTAGGAATAAATTATGGGTAGAGATTGGGTTTAGTCTATATTTTTGGACAGTAATGTTGATCCAGGATCAACAAAAGATGTTGATCCAGGAACATGTCTTACTTGGCAAAATCACGGCGACCGTCACTGGAGACAGGGGATGTAGACACAATATTGATTGTCTAGGATATGTGTAAAAGGTGGGTAAGAGGATTGTGTGCTGGAGGTAAGACTCAGACAGCGGGTGGAGGTGCAACTCCTGCTTTTCCCCCGTGGCCTCCACGTACTAATTGATTCTATTGTCCTCATTTGTAAGTTGCTTTGGATAAAAGTGTCTGCTAAATGACTAAATGTAAATGTAACCTGTAGCTTCCGCTGATTGTTGTACGTGCATTCATTCCGCCGGATGACGTAGGCGTAGCGTAAGATCCGGTGAGAAGTGATGAATGTGGAAGCGGAGCGGAGAGAGCAAAACAAAACACTGGTCACGAATTAGAAGCACAAAACGAGGATTTGTAAAGAAAAATATCGGAGGATTTCGATATAAGCCAAGAAGAGACTGGTTTTCCTTTGCTAAAGTAAGGAAACTTTGTTTCCTTTGCTCCTGCATTTCTCAGAGGTGCGCGCATGACACATAAGTCTTACGTCATCCGCCTGAATGTCTTCCGCGTACCACAGTCAGCTGAAGTGAGAAAGAAGTGTTTATTACGTTTGAAATATGGATATTTATCTTACAAAAATGCATGGAATCGCTACAGGAGGCCTTTATTCACCCACCTGGAGCCGTGTGAGGGACGTTTTATTATGGATGTGCGCACTTTATTTCACGTCTTCTGAACTGTTGACAACCAACACCCGCTTACCCCCATTGAAAGGCTTGGAGGGGCCAGGACAATTTTTAATATAACTCTGATTGGATTCGTCTGAAAGAAGAAAGTCACATACACCTAGGATGCTTTGAGGGTGAGTAAAACACAGGCTAATTTTCATTTTTGGGTGAACTAACCCTTTAAGCTTTAAAAGTATCTCAGTTATCTGAAAAATTAGAATAGAAAATTTAACAAGCATTCTTAGCAATACAAGTCTTAGCTATACAAGAAGCACTGCAAAAACCTAGATTCTCTATGGCTTAGTAGTTTGCACACCAGCCCCTGAGAAACAAACCCATATCTATCAAATACAGACATCCAGAACCAAGACTGACTTTAATGTATAAGAAAGATCACTTGGATGAAATTGCCTGCATAATCACTGTACACTAGTAAAATGTACACCTGATGTTCAACGCAAGGCTCCAAGACAAAACACACAGACATCCAAGACACAATCTTGGAGGTGCCATAGACCCTACACACACAAAAGTCAATTTGTCATTCCTGAAAAACAAGGGGAAGGAAGGAGGAATGTCACTGGAGGGTGACCATGTTTTCACCAAGTACAACATGTTCCTGGATCAACATCCTTGTTGATCCTGGAACAACATCCCAATTAACCAATCAGAATTGAGGGATAACTTTTCAGGAAATATCTGTTTTAGGCTTATGATCAGGATTAGGTGCTTCTACACCCTTGGTAATCAGCTATCATTTCACACTGATTTTAGGAATAAATTATGGGTAGAGATTGGGTTTAGTCTATATTTTTGGACAGTAATGTTGATCCAGGATCAACAAAAGATGTTGATCCAGGAACATGTCTTACTTGGCAAAATCACGGCGACCGTCACTGGAGACAGGGGATGTAGACACAATATTGATTGTCTAGGATATGTGTAAAAGGTGGGTAAGAGGATTGTGTGCTGGAGGTAAGACTCAGACAGCGGGTGGAGGTGCAACTCCTGCTTTTCCCCCGTGGCCTCCACGTACTTCCACACATACAGTGGCGGGTTCTTATATAACCTACTGGCAGAAACACACAGGATGAGGAGAAACTGATCCAACTCTTCCACTGGGTTATCATACTCTTTGTAGCCTCAAAATTCCTCACCTTTTACCCCCTTATCACTGTGTCCTTTGTTTTCTAAAATTATATTTAAAGTTTTTTTCCTGTGTACTTTCTGTCCATTTTATTAACTGAAACATTTCTGTCATGTCTTGCATTTTCTTTCTTTACAAACCCCATGTTGGTGCTCTGGGTTTTGTGTGCAATAACTTGCAGATTAGATTTGCTTGTAACTTGAGCATGTTGTGATACACTGAGTGTTTGCTAATATGTGCTATCATGAACCATCCGCTGCCACCCACTCGAAATCTACACTTATGATAACAAAACACACCCAACCACCCCCATCCCTCTCCTTCAGATCTCACTGAGGCCGTTTTGACTCTGATCACAGGTGGGCACTGCAGCTGTCTGTCTGGTTGTTTATGAAGGACACCATAAAATGTCTCAGCATATGTCATATTTTAACCACAGCAACTGCTCGTGGCATTAAAGGACAGTTCACTCAAAATGAAAATTATGTTGTTCCAAACATGTATGACTTTATTTCTACTTTGGAACACTACTTTAAGAAAATTGTTTCAACTGTTTTTGTCCATTCAATGAAAGTCAATGGGGGCCAAAACAACACTTGAACTCTCTGATCTGTTTTGTGCATTTTACAGAAGAATTAAAGTCAAAGAGACTAAATATTGACATTTCCTCTCACTTATATTTAGCACACATTTGTGTCCAGAGGGAGCTTCTAGACACCATTTTATACCAAGGGGACTACGGAGCAAGACATGGATGAATGTCTTGCTCAAAAGCGCACAGTAAGGGTTTGAAGTCAAAGGGGCATAAGTGTAAATCCAAACCCTCGGTCTGTGATCAGTAAATGATGCTGGGCAGGATTGTTAACTCCTAGATGATCCCTAAATATGATTAAACCTGCAGCTTTTGTGTTAGCAGCCTAAACCCTTTCGGTAACACTTTAGTATAACGACCAATTCTCACTTTTGTTAATAGCGAGAATTGGACCTTAAAATAAAGTGTGACCACTCTTTCTAATTAGACAAACTCAATCCCCTTTTCTACACCAATGAGTTTTAAAGACTGGTTAGCTAATTTTGTTGACATACTTAGGATAACTGATTTCATGTTAAATCCTCAGTCTTTAGCAAAATTGTTACACTAAAGCAAAGAAACCATTCTGAACTAGACTTTCAGGGTGATTATAGGACTCCCCTTGTTCAAGCAAGATTTTAGATTGAAGCTCAAGTGTGGTGTAGTGCAGAAGAAAGACCTGAGAGAACCCAAGCACATGCATGATTCAAAAGAATCGTCATAACTCACGTTTAGTGCAGCGCTGAGATCCCTGGGTCTTGCTCCAACCAACACAGCACTGCCCCCCACAGACGTTCACTCTGTAATGACATCAAGAGTCACACTCACACACAAACTGAATGGACCTACTAACCTTACTGTAACCCCCACCCCCCGGTCAATCTCCTCGCCCACCCAGAGAGGTTTCTGACGCAAGTCTGCTCTCACTGAAGTGACATGGGAGCCCGGGGACCAAAGCTGGATGAGGCTCCAATATAATTAGTCCTCGTATTCCCACTGTGCTATTTCATACTGTACCTTAGAGCAAAGCAAGAGGAACTGATCCAAAGCACAGGAAATATGAAGAAATACAGGGCTGGGATACACTCAGTACTCTTCGTGATTGTAGGGAATGTGGAAAAATCTTTGTGACCTGGTGAAACTTTGTGGCCTGGTGAAACTTTTTAAGGGGCATCTGGTTCATTGGTAGGGGAGCCGGTAGCCTACATTTAATCTGGCTCGCATGGTTTCTAGAATCAACAAATGTTACTTTGCTTTTTAGAACGTTATGATCACTGTAGACTGGTTGCCTTATCAAACTCCTTAGTGACATCTGGCTGCTAACATCATTGGCAAATGCAAGTTTGAAACTAATGGAACTACAACACTCACATTCTTGATTACTTCTGTTCAACAGTATTACACTGACACAATTTACGTTAGCAATTTGCACAATACGTGAGTGAGTGAAGTGACATGTGGCCAAGTATGGTGACCCATACTAGGAATTAGTGCTCTGCATTTACCCATCCAAAGTGCACACACACAGCAGTAAACACAAACACCGTGAACACACACCCGGAGCAGTGGGCAGCCATTTATGCTGCGGCGCCCGGGGAGCAGTTGGGGGTTCGGTGCCTTGCTCAAGGGCATCTCAGTCGTGGTATTGAAGGTGGGAGAGAGCGCTGTACATTCACTCCCCCCACCTACAATCCCTGCCAGTACGAGACTCGAACCCACAACCTTTGGGTTATGAGTCCGACTCTCTAACCATTAGGCCACGACTTCCCCATACAAGTAACGCATTACAATGGAAGCATCACTTAGTTTTTAAATCATACTAAACTTTTACTTTTTGGAACGGTTACATCATTTTTTCTTCTTATGGCTAATTTTTATATTTATCTTTATCAAACTGTGAACTACAGACAGCTAAATAATCGGTTTGACTTACCGATATTCGTTATCAGCACCATTTGGTGGGTCTCTATAGAAAATCATTCAATATCGGTATTCACTTATAAAGTTACTTTATAATGTTACTTTATTTCTAATTCATTTGTTTAGTTTGGATAATGAACTTTGTGACCATTTAGACTGCAAAACAGCTTTGCGTAAAAACATCAGTTATTTAAATAACACTACAATATCACAATATTCATAATGAATATAATAATAATAAATATTCATAATCCATATTTTCTGTTGTAGCTGCCTAATGGCAAATATAGATATTATTTTGTCTAATAGGTATTGTATGGTACATAGCCTACAAATAATTATAATTCTACTAAAAAAAACTCTATAGGTTATTGGTCGAAATGTAATGTTATGCACATGAATACACTTGGCTCTGCTCTTACCCTGATATTTTCATATGATGGCTGGTTGTGTGTCGGCCAGGCTGCGCGTCCTGGCGGATCGGAATGCTCGGGTTCGGATTCGACTGGTGACCCATTCTGCGGGTCCGGACCTGGCCGCCGAAGCTGGCTTTGAGCTCCACATTGTAGGAGTGCGGCTGTCCCGACGCTCCCGAGAGCGATGAAATAGAGCTCACGTGAACCCCGTCCGTACCGCTCGGTCCCGGTTGAAGCACGTACAGTTTCCTGAAGCCGCTCTTATCCGCCGAGAGCGAAGCCGGAGAAATCAATAACGTTAGAGAAACAATGATGTCCCACATGAGCACAGCCATATCCATTGGAAGTGAACGTGTTGGGAAAGTTTGAAAGAACTACTCTGTACTATATACACACACTATAGATAGAAAGACACAAAAAAAACTATAGAAGTGCAGCTCCGCTCTGTCGCGTGTGAAGCAGTTGTAAACCCTCGCGCGCTGTCATCTATTCGCCATAAGAAAACACTTAGAGGCAAACATAACTTAAAAGAGGGGGAAAATGCTTGGAGTGAAAGAAAGTTTCAAAGCACGAAACGGAAATCAGGGAAAACGGGAGTCAAGGCGGCGAGAGAGCTCGCGTGCGGGCGATTTGAGCTCGAGCAGAAGTTTGAAAACTCTTAGAAAAGTTTGAGCGCGTGTGTGTGCAAGGGCAGGAGTTTGTGCTCGAGCTCCATATAGCCAATCTCCTGCAGACATGACGTCAGGGATGGAGCTCTTATTGGAAGACACATGTGGGGCTGAACCCTTAAACCAAAGGCATAAAACTGAACTGAAGAACTGCGTTCAGACTTATGAATTTGATGATGGGGGTCGTCTGTAAAAATGTCAGATAAGTGCATCCATCATAAGTCAAGCCTGTCATGTAGAGCGCAGGCATCAGTTCCACTGCTCCACACAAAAATAAGCTATTCCACTAGAGGGTTCTCAGGATATTACATTGGCCGTCAACTGGGGACTGAATATTAATATTGCTTATACAAAATTAACCAGAAATTCCATTAGAATCAAACACTGGCTATGCCTACATGCACCCTAAGCCAGTGCTGGAATTAAAGCTGAAGCTCATGTAAACAGAATACCATAATTATGCACATAATTAGAGTAACCATAATCACAGTATAGCCTATGCTTTAACCACATTTCTTCCACTCTGATCAAAGTGCGCATGTGCAGAAGAGAAGCCGCACTCAGGAAACAGGGTTACTTACATTTAATTGAAATCTAATGAAAAGTGTTACCATTTCAGATATATTTGGCTCAGTTCTTACCCTGACACTTTCATATGGTTGTTGCTTTACAAAGGACATACTGATGGAATCATTTTAGTGGCTTATGTAATTGTCCAGATGACTGGGTATCCTAGAACAGGCCAACATTTCATATTTGAAGGCGGCAAAACAACAACAGCAACAAAATGGCAGTAAAAACACATGGCATTGGTAAGTAGCATGTAAACAATTCGAATAGATTACTGAATATGAATAATTCCTTAGGTTATTGGCAGTTATCGGACTATTAACATACATTGTAAATATAGCCTTTGAAATCTATTTAGATTCTGGTTTTTGATGATAACCTTCCCATATTTCCATCTAATCTGACTTACTTGTAGAATTTCCCCTAAAATACCATAGGATTTGATGGACACACTGGCATTTGATATTAGCTACAAAATAAAAACAGCTTGAAAGCTAGTCTAAGCCTCACCTATAGTCTATTGGATGGATTTAGAAAAACGTTGGGCACTTTCAAGCAGATTGGGACACCGGATTGACAAGGTAGACCCTGTTGAAGGGGGAAATTGCTTAAACTGGTTTAGGCGGGCCTTAGATGGTTTTGAAGGAAATATTTTTAGCTGACCAAGCTGGGAGACTGACCGGCTTCACTCATAAAAATAACGTTTTTATTGGCAGATTATTCCATGAAGAACACTTTAACATCCATGAAAACGTTCCATTGCACAAAAGGTGTAAAAAGGGTCAATATATTATTAACATGTTTATCACACTAAGCAAAATTGTACTTTTAAGAACCGTTCACTGAAATGTTCCTTAGGAAACTCAAATTGGTTCTGTCATCACCGTGAAAACCCCATTTTGGGAGCCGTGTTGACTAGGCTCTGAGACCAACTAAGACCATTTTTAAGATGTTCTCAACCCTATTGTAAAAGACCTGCAAAGCCATTAGAACCATTCATTTATTCGGATGATTTACTTAATAAGTGACACCATTCAGAAACTCTGAATCAAAGCAGTCTGTGATGTTCTATGCATTTATGTGATCCAAATGACTTTCTCCCTACAGCATGCCTCACTGTTTACCAGCTCTAAATCTGACTTTGAGAGCCTTCTGCCCATGAACGGGGACCCTATGGCCTCCCTACACGTCAAAAACCGGATCCTATTAATACATTCAGCATCCGCACACGCCCTCCTGTTTCGACACACAAATAGATGAACATGCCTCCATTCTTTTACACGCTCACAATTCCCTAAACTTAGCCGAAAGTCACTGTCCTCCTACAGACACTTGTTATCTGGATTACCAGAATGTCTTTACAGCATTACTGAAAGGTGACTCAGAAACTTCCTTAGATCAAGACCATTTTAGGCCTAGACTGAGCTCAGCCCACTCTAGGATATGCGTGGGTGAGACGGCCAGAGAGACAGATAGACAGACATGGAATACTTTAAATGGATTTATTAAATGCATTAGATCATCCTTGAGGAGAACCAAATGTCTTGAAAGAAATCGTTCTGTTTCTACACAACCGAACAGGTGTTTAACAGTCCATTCTTATGATGTACATGCACAAACACTCTCTTCTGTGAAGAATATTGCCAAATTAAAGTTATGTATTCATCAATTGATGATCTCTAATTGAATAAAAAGTTCCTGTTACATCTGCCAGGTCTAATGGCTAGAGTTGAAAAGGGGATTCAGTTAAGGAACAGAGAGAGACAGTGCTGTCATAAAGCTATTCTTGGGTCACAGCTATTTTTTGTTTAAAAATAATGACCATCATAACTAAAAGTGAAGAGCAGGAGAGAGAGAGAGAATACAATATTAATGACAAGACTTCAGCATGCTTTAAAGTAGTTTACGCCACACTCTCAAATCTTAGTTTGGTCTGTGAATCCATATAAATTGCATAAAAACTTGAATGGGGATTCACAAACAAATTCTGCACAAGGGACCCAGACTCCTTAGTGACTCCACTGATGACATCTCTCCTTAATCAGTCACATGATTTAAGGTATCATTCGTGTATTACAAACAGTCGCTTTCATTTTTAGGTGAGCTACCCCTTTAGGGATCAAAATCCTTATTTTGTAAACTCACCTCTTGGTAATATTCAAATTGTTTGCCATTTCACCAGTATAGTAGTGCCTGGAATTTAAAAGATCAATTGTGTCAAACACAATCAACTTTTACATATATATAAACTGTTAAAGAACATAACGCAGGGCCATCGGGTTCTTAAGTTGTTCATTTGTGCATTGATACAACAGTCACATATGCGGCCCACAGAGGGAGGACAGGAACTTCACACTGTATCAGTGGTATCACCACAACCCTGTGGGAGGAAGGAGAGCTGTGCTGGGGAATTAACAGTTTATGTAGTTAAAAATGTGCTTTGCGATTGTTGTCACAGCCAGCAGGGCAGCCCCATGGTGGGAGGGATGCAGATATCTTCTGTCAGCAACTCTCTACTGTAATACACAATTTTCAAACACAACATTTTGGTTTTAGATGCTACCTGAGCTACAGCATTTGCCATTTAGACAACTTTTAAAGGACCGCTGAAGAGAGCTTGTTATTTATTTTAGGCGCTTCTTAATAGCTTCCAAAAGCAGTGCTGCAGAGATTATGCATTTTTGTAGACCACAACTCGGAAATGAGTTAGCATTTTAGCATTTCCGGTTGTATCGTCCCAAAGTCAGTGAGCTTTTGGATAAATGTCTGAAATAAAGTCTGTGGTTAAAACAAGATCAAGATATTTTCAGATTTTATTCTACAACATAAAATATATTAGTAATACCTTGTATTTTGGCTTCATAAAAGTTGTTCATTGGCCTACAATAATACATCACTGCAGCACTCTATTCAGAAGAACAGATCAGAACTTTTTGGATGATGTAGTAACACATGCCAAACATATATGTGACATTGATATTAAATAGCTCTACTATAGTGTGTTGACATTGCATAATCTCTGGAAGTTGTTCACTTGGTGGTTCCCACAATAGACACAGGATGTTTGCTTTGTGTCAGATTCATGTTTCTTAGCCCTCAGCTATCCTGTAGGTTCTCTGGGGCAACTTACTAGGCAATGTTCTTGCATCATTTGTACATAAATATGATGAATAACCAAACACTGCCAATTTCTTTGTTTCTTGTAACGGTCAAGCAAACAAAGAACTGTTCTCACAATGAAAGTTAATTACTTACAGATATTCTGTAATGCTCAAATACCATGCTGAAAAATTACGGGCATGATGTCATTTCTCTGAGGACAGATGCAGAAAGATGTGCGAGCAAGACGACGTCAAGGCAGGAAGAGAGACCAGATTTGTGAGAAATCAGATGGGTAAATATAAATCTCTCTAAATTCAATAGACTCAAAAAGGCCCAACTCTGCAAACTCTCAATGACATAATGACCTTCTCTGATACATACTTTATTGTTCAAAAGTTTGTTTTCAGTAAGATTTTCGTTTTTTAAAATAATACTTTTATTCAGCAAGGACACATTCATTGACCAAAAGTGATTAAAAACATTATGATGTTAAAAATTATTTCTATTTCAAATGACTGTCTCGGTTTCCAACATTTGTTTTGTTGAGCACCAAATCAACATATTAGAAGGATTTCTGAAGGATCATGTGACACTGAAGACTGGAGTAATGACTGCTAAAAACTCAGCTTTGCCATCACAGGAATAAACTACATTTTAAACAAATCGAAAACCGTTATTTTTCAATATTATATTTCACAATATTATTTCATCATGCACACAAGTTAAAAAAAAAACAAGCATAAAGATTAATTATGTAAGAAAGAGGCTGTGTATTATTTATTGGAATGAGGCACTGTTGAACATAAGCCTCAGCGACCTTAAAATCACATTGTGTGATCACAGGATCCGATTAGGGCAAAGACAGCTGACCCTGGATCAGGTCATGATGACAAACATCTTTAACTCAGTCACTAAGTCTTTCTTTTAGGTTTTTTCATGTTGACTGAACAAGCAACAGAGGTCCTGAGGATTTCCTGATGGAAGTTTTGTTAGTTTAAAACATAACTTTAAAGATGCACTGTTTAAACCAGGGGTGCCCAAACTCGGTCCTGGAGGGCCAGTGTCCTGCAGAGTTTAGCTCCAACCCCAATTAAACACACCTGAACCAGCTAATCAAGCTCTTATAGGAATACTAGAAACTTCCCAGCAGGTGTGTGGAGGTAAGTTGGAGCTAAACTCTGCATGACACCGGCCCTCCAGGACCGAGTTTGGGCTCCCCTGGTTTAAACCAATCAAAGGGAGGAAGAAAACAGTGCTATGGCTTCTCATTGGCTGCGTAACTGGGCACTCAGGTCCTGCAGCTCTGTGATGAGCTGCTCGAGCTCTGTGACATCACCTCTGAGCTCATCATGGAGTTCACCTGTGGCAACATCAGTGTACAGTTGCTGTGAAGAGACAACAAAACAAAAGTGTTTTTGAGACCTATAAATGGCAGCTGACAGATTATAATAAATGATTAAAAAAATTATAAATAAAAATTCCTATAAAAATTTAACTTATTACAATATATTTACAGATAACATGACATCACAATTGACACCATTTACTTAAAACATTAGAATGTTGGTCTTATTGTAAATACTGAAAAATTATTGATTAATTGCACAGTTATTCAATATAAAAAAATCATCAAAATGTAATTGAAATGACAGTTTCTTCCAGACTTTTCGTTTGAGATGACAACAAGCTGGCCTGTCATATATAAAGAACCTTTTATCCAATCAATTCCTGATAAACACTTTTGTTCAAATGTTTGGGATCAAATTTTTTTTTAAATCAAGATTTTTTTTTCTTTTTTTTTTTTAAGAAGTTTCTTATTCTCACCATGGCTGCATTTATTAGATCGAAATACAGTAAAAATGGCAAAATTGTGAAACATTATTATAAACTAACTGTTTTCTATTTTTAAATATTTTAAAATGTAATTTATTTTGGTGATGGCAAAGCTGAATTCTCAGCAGTCTTTACTCCAGTCTTCTGTTTCAAATGATCCTTCAGAAATTATTCTATAATTATTATATAATATGCTGATTTGTTTCTAATATCTTATTGTTACTGTATAAATGCTAAAAACCATTGTGCTGCTTAAAATTTTTGTAAAAACCCTCATATTGTTTTCAGGACTCAAAAGAACAGTATTTGCAACAAATCTTTTAACATTGTAAATGTTTTTACTGTCACTTGATCAATTTAATGTGTCGTTTCTGAATACATGTATTAACTTCTTTCAAAAAAATGCCTCTAAACTTTTGAACAGTATTGTATAAAAAAGTCCTATTTTCCATTCTAAATTTTCTCATATCCGGTTTTGTTGGATTTGTGAGTTTCGAGCACTATTTTATAACGACTTAAATATTTGGTCACACTTTATATTAAGGTCCAATTCTCGCAATTAACAAACCATTGACTATGACTTTTGCCTCAATAAACTCCTAATTTGCTGCTTATTAATAGTTAGTAAGGTAGTTGTTAAGTTTAGGTATTGGGTAGGATTAGGAATGTAGAATATGGTCGTGCAGAATATGTGCTTTATAAGTAGTAAAAAAAAGCCAATATTTTTTTATTATGCTAATAAGCAACTAGTTAATAGTGATAATTGGTCCCTATACTAAAGTGTTACCATGCGTGTAATAGCATTAAATAGGCAGAAATTGCCAGAAAATGCTAACTTTTACAAAACAAATAAAAACGCCTGTTTTTATTGATAGCTTTAAAAGACTTAAGCAAAACCTTAAAGCTAAAGACTTTAAGAGCGGAGTGTGTGTGAAACTCACTCTGGCTTTGGTGACCAGGCTCTTCAAACTGAGTCGAGCTGAAGACAGCAACTGTAGAGCCTCTTGAGGATTGCGCTTAGACCTGCTACAGCTGATAGAGACTGCGAGACAGAGAGACATAGACAGGAATTACTGAGGAGTTTCATCTCCAGTATAGAGTCCCGGCGGTTTACAGAGGGCAGCGCTGGAACATTCTGCATGCAGCACAGCCAGCCAGAGGAGACCGTGAGTGTCGGCCTGTCAAAGGTCACTAGAGGTCAGGTGATGCAATATCAAGGTCTGTGGCCTAATACAAAGAGTTGGACATTATTTAATTTTGTGTGTGTGTGTGTAGTACTGTTCACATTAAGTGATGGATCACGACCTCTGAGCGACTCTGATGTTTAATCACTACAGCTATTAATGCAACATCAAACATCATTCCACACACACACACACACACACACACACACACACACACACACACACAGAGACACAGACACAGACACAGTCACTGTCATCTATTCTACACATTTTTTCCACAATGAAACTCAATTAGCAGAGTCTCTAGCAGAATATGATTATCAAACAGGGCTAACAGAACATAACACATATTGTGTGCGCAGGTACTTTAATTTTCCTGAGAAGGTGCATTCCCAGGAAGCATTTGTGTGCTGTTTATCAACTATGTTTATCTTGCTCACAAATATGGAGGAAAGCAACAGATGCATGAGTATGCGTATCTACCTGTTTTTTTTCTGCCTTTCATTCCATCATTTCCACTTTTGTGATTTACTTTTCAATTCCTTCTTCCTATTTTTGTTCTTCACTTCCTTGATTCTCTCCTCCTCTACTTTTCTTTTAATCTTCCTAAAATCCCTTATTTCATAAATTCCAAAATTCATTCTAAATTCTTTCATTCTTTCTAAATTATAATTTTCTTTCTAAAGCTTCTTAAATAAACTTAAAAATACATTTCTAAGAATTTTCTAAATTCTTAGAAAATTTTTCTTTCAAAATTTTTATTTTTCCTGAATTATTTTTCTTTTTACATTCTTCACATACACACAGACACACACACACACACACACACACACACACACACACACACACACACACACAGAGACACAGACACAGACACAGTCACTGTCATCTATTCTACACATTTTTTCCACAATGAAACTCAATTAGCAGAGTCTCTAGCAGAATATGATTATCAAACAGGGCTAACAGAACATAACACATATTGTGTGCGCAGGTACTTTAATTTTCCTGAGAAGGTGCATTCCCAGGAAGCATTTGTGTGCTGTTTATCAACTATGTTTATCTTGCTCACAAATATGGAGGAAAGCAACAGATGCATGAGTATGCGTATCTACCTGTTTTTTTTCTGCCTTTCATTCCATCATTTCCACTTTTGTGATTTACTTTTCAATTCCTTCTTCCTATTTTTGTTCTTCACTTCCTTGATTCTCTCCTCCTCTACTTTTCTTTTAATCTTCCTAAAATCCCTTATTTCATAAATTCCAAAATTCATTCTAAATTCTTTCATTCTTTCTAAATTATAATTTTCTTTCTAAAGCTTCTTAAATAAACTTAAAAATACATTTCTAAGAATTTTCTAAATTCTTAGAAAATTTTTCTTTCAAAATTTTTATTTTTCCTGAATTATTTTTCTTTTTACATTCTTGCAGCAATTCTTTCTAAATTTCTAAATTCTTAATTCATTATAAGTTCTTTCATTCTTTCTAAATTATAATCTTATTTCTAAAGCTTTTTAAATAAATTTTAATTACTTTCTAAATTCTTAGAAAGTTTTTATTTTTCCTGAATTATTTTTCTTTCTACATTCTTGCTGCAATTCTTTCTAAATTATTTATTTCTAAATTCTTAATTCTTGCTTTCTTCCTAAATTCTTGCCTTTTTCCTTTATAAACACTCATTCTTATTAATTAAAAAAAGATATTTTTCTAAATTTCTGCTTATTTCCTTTCTAAATGCTTTTTAAATTATCTTTTTATTTTTTTCCCCTCTAAATTCTTCTTTCTAAATTTATGCTTTCTTTGTAAATTCTCTCTCTCAATTTGTGTTTTTTGCTTCCCCTCAAATTTTTCCTTCTAAATTCTAGTCAATCCATCTATCCATCAATTCTTCATTCTTGCTATCTCCATCTCTCTCTTTACCCATCTCATCCTCATGTTTCTGCCTGAAGCGGCAACAGCAGGAAAAGTGGTGTGATTAATAAGTGTGGAGCTCATTCACAACACACACACACAGCTTTAATGCATAGCAACACATACATGAATACAATATCTACACAAATGCACGAGGTACCATACAACCCAGTGAAGAATGATCTTATGTATGCTCACACACTTACCTCGCCCTTATATCGATCGATCAATCCTCCCCAAACACACGCGCACACACATACAGAAAGCAGGCCAGAGTAAGTGGGAAGGGATGGAGGCGTGTGAAGGGTTCTGCTACATTTGCCGAGCCGCCCCTTTATAAATCATTAAGATCAACAACAAACAGCCTGCATACTCAAGGACAAGCTGATGGAGAGAGTGTGTGAAATGGAATAAGAGGAGAGATGCTAAAAAGATGGCAAACGAACAATCGAGCGGGATCATGATTCGGTTAGACAAGTTGGTCCATGTTCAATGCCAGCTGAGAATAAAATGATGTGATTTCTGTGTTTAAGACACAGAAATTCAGATTTGAAGGAGAAAGAATTGCTATTCAACCCAAAACCTGTGCTCTGTCCCAACTGATGTTTAATTCAACACACACTTACTGACCAAACCCTCAACATCCCTCCTAATGAGACACACACACACACACACACACACACACACACACAGATGGACAGACAAAAGCAAACCCATCTGGTAAACACACACAGGCGCACGTGCCCACACACACAAACAGAAGTCTGTCTCTGGTGGAGGTCAGAGGGGTAAAAGGCTTGTTTGTTGTTCTTGCTCCTGCTCCTTGTTCTCAATCCATCAGCCCTTTCAGACTCTCTCTACGTTCACGCGCTGCCACATTAGCCATGATAGAGTGACTCTCTGAATGAGTGCAGGACCACGATTCTGTATGTTCCTCTCAAATGGCCTTGTGAAAGAGAAAGGGAAAGCATGGCCATGTGTGTGTGTGTGTGTGTGTGTGTGTGTGTATA